AAAAAAAAAAAAAAAAACAGGGTGTTACAGAATGTCTTGAATCATTTCATATGCCATGTCGCCCGTCCTTGCCCTATGCCATGTCTACTTATTATTTCGACTCGTAAAGCGACTTGTTTACCCAATCAGATCTCGAATTGGTTGGATAAGTCTGAATCTTTTTTCTCTCTTTTCTCTTTTTTTTTTATTTCAAAATTCAAAAATGGGGTCTTGAGCTTTGATAAGACGCTTTCTCTTTCCACTGCTTCGTATTCTGTGTGCCATCTCATCTGTTGAATCTGCCTTTAATCTGAGGGCTAGGGTTTCTTCCTCTTCCCCTATAAGTATTCTCCCCCTTTTCTCTTCTTCACTTTTTCGCCCTCAATTTTTCTGAACTCTCCTTCTCCGGCAAACACAACATCCTCAAGCTTTCCGGCGCTCTTTTCTCATTCCGGCGTTCTATATCAACCACCATGAGTATGAGTAAGTTCTCTTCGCCTTTCGATTTACTGTTATGTGCGATTTATTTATTTATTTATTTTTTTGGCTTTTCTGGGCGCTGTGCTTGGATTTTTTGCATGTTCATCAGATTTTCTGGGTATTTTTACACGAATTTCTGGCGATTTTTTTTTTTAGATCTTGGATCGGAGGCTTTTCATCTCTCCAAGTGTTTTTATTTGTCAGTCATCTTATCATGAGGGATTTATGTAATATCCCGTCAGATTAATTATATAAATCATGTTTAATTCCGATATAATAATATTGTCGAGTATTATTTTCGGAATTAATTATTTTCAGTCGAGATTACCCGAAATTATTTTCGACGTCCCGTTTACGTTCGGAATAATTTTGGTAATTAAGTGTTACGCTTAATTAAATAAGTAAGTATTTAATCGTGATTAGTTAGTAATTAATCTCCATTAGCAAGCAAAAGCTGTACGCATTTTTTTAAAAATCGGTTCAATTGTCGTGGGCAATTCTTCAAAGGGAAGGAAGTTATTTTCCCTTAGCAAGCTTGAGGTGGCAATTTAAGATGATTAGTCACCCTCTAAAGTCTCCAGTTAACCTCCAAGTGGCATGTCTTAAGGAAACCACATAAGTCCATCATCACCCATAATTTTGGTACGGTGATATATATATATGAGTTATGTGAGA